CTTGTGGCTGCATCACTCCAAATTCTGCCTCCATCTTCACATGGCTCTATGTCTGGGTCCAAATTTCCTTCTTCTTATAGGAACATCAGTCATATTGGATTTAGGCCCCACCCTAATCCAGTATGACCTCACCTTAACTTGATTCCACCTGCAAAGACTCTTTTTCCAAGTAAGATCACATTCACAGGATACGGATAGACATTGGTTTGGGGGGATGCTACTCAGCCCAGTACCATAGCCATCTATTTCTCTACTGGGATGGATCCTGAGAGGTGGCTATATCAAGGGGATGCTGGCCTTCTGTGTCCTCTGACCTTCACATCCAATTCGGCCCACCTGGCCAGCCATATAGTCCTGGCAGATACACGGCTTTTTCCACTCTTTTTCCCCCAAAGTTTGTCCCTTGCATTTCCCCCTTGGGATTTTGCTAAGAATGAGGATTTGGAGAAGCTTCTCCCTGAGCGGTGTCCTCTAGCCAGGTTCAGGACCTTGCCGTGTGGAGGGGGTTATAAAAACATCTGTACCTTTTCCTCCTCTCATCTTGATGAATCCAAACCCAGCCCCCATCCTAACTCCTGGGACCTGTGCCCATCCCAGGCAGCAAGAACTTTGGGAATCCAACCCTTTCTCAGGACAATACTCACTTCACACAGATGTCAGAATTTCGTGAAAATACTAATTTCTCATTTCCTCATTCTTAAAAAGTAGAAACCTCCCTTCTCCTGCAGGCCCCCTTTTCTGTGATTCCCTTCAGAGTAGCAGCGCTCTCCTGGGGCCATGGGCCCCCAGGAACTCAGCCTACTCAGAAGGAGCATGTGATGGTTTTGGTCACTCCCTCCTCCTCATCTTGAGGGCATAGAAGTGTCTGGTCAGATCCCTGCACTACTCATGCTCAGGCTCTTACTGAGCTCCCTCACACTCAGGCTGTATCAGCTACCCAAATAAAACTCCAAATGTACACCTCATGCCCAGATCACTGTCATCAGACGTGCAGGACCCCATTTCCTGTCTTTCTGGGAATGCAGTTTAGGCTAGGGCTCTGCAGGAAAAATTAGTGATTAATGACTAAGCAGCTCCAGAAAGAGAAGGGTTAACATACAGACATAGCTTTAAAAACAACTAAGGATAGCAGCTCTGATTGAGCATTAGGCAAAGTCAGAGACAGAGTCGTAGAGGTCAGGGGCTACTAGTGCAGTCTGCTCCCCTTTGCCCCTCCCATCTGGTCCATTTTGCTGGGTCCTGATGCCACGGGACACACAGCCTGGCATAGAGAACAGAACCTGTCTTTGCCCCTCAGAGCCTGTGACTTGAGTCTGTGTGCTCCCCTGCGTCAGGTGACGATTCTTTCCTGGGCACTGGTTTGAGAAGGTTAAGTAAGAGATGAGAAATAAAGTCCCCGGCAGGGGCTGGCTCCTTTCCAAGCAGCCCTATCAAAACCCAAGCACATTTAGCTAATTTGGAAATTAGCGAATGCTGACTTTTTCACATTATCATCATATTATTATCCAGCTTTGTATCATTGGATTTTTTTCCTTCACTTTTTACATTTTGTATTTTTCATCTACCTTAATATGTTCTAGTTCAACATATCACTTTTTTTGCATTATTTCCTTTAAAAGGCCCCATTTCAAAAAAAACGGTGTTAGAATGAAAATTTTAAAATATTTACTCAAGTGACTTCTATTTGAAAATCCCCATAAAATACTCAGCTCGTTTTTATAATCATGAATCACTTTGTGGTATGCAGTGATTTCAAATTATTATAGTGCTTCACTCTTCCTTAATGTGCTTTGATTTTCAAGTGATGAAATCATTTTGCACCAAGTGGAACAATTTGATAATATTGAAGATCATCTATTTTTTATTACCTAGAGTTTAGAAGTGGTTGGGGTTTTGGATGGGCCCAATGTAATTTTGAAAGGACTGGCTGTTCTGAAACTCTGGGATGTGACACAGTGTTATGCTTTCCCCAGTCCATCAGGAAGAAGCATCTCAAACTCAGCCACTCAAACCTCAGTGACCGGCAGACTTGCTTGACAGGCCCTTGTTTGAAACCAGGATTGCAAGCTTCTGTGAAAAAGCTAGGTCTGATTAAAAACTTCCTTTCTACATCAGTCCAGGACACTGTGGAAAAAGAGCTCTTCTCTACCCAGCTTTGGTGGGAAGAAAGTCGATGTG